GTTATAATTCCTGTTGTTTACAGTTTCTAATATGTTCAAAATTAAAAAAAAACTATGAGTGAGGGGAGCACGGGCATCACATTATAACATTATATCAATATTGTAAACTGATGTGTCTGCAAGTAGATAAATATTTTTCAGTGAATTTACAATTATCACGCGGCAACACCGTTGCTTAGTTAGGACATAATAAGATAATAACAAGCTTGTACTATTGTGTATTTAATATCTGACCTTAATAAATTAGTGCTCGTTGGTGGTTTGTATTCGCTCATTTCGAATTTATAATGTAGTTACAATGATTATGTCACATCCCACTACGTAATAACCACGACCGTTCTGACAAGAACGAAGCGAATGAGAAGAAGAAGAAGGTGGTTTGTATTCGCACATTTCGAATTGATAATGTAAAGTTACAATGATTATGTAAAAGAGCAACACGCGCAAGTTTCTTGCTCGTTCTTCTTGTGATGAGACAGCTTTCCAAATGAGCGGTAGATTAAAAGAATGATAACTATGACTATTCAAAAGTACATAAATTGAGTTTATTTGAATCATTGATTTTCTATTCTATTCTATCCTTGTCATTCTGGACCGAATCGCTTTCTTGTGAATATCTTCTATCCAAAAATATCTATACTTAATATATATAGTGTAAATAGCCACAATTGGTTTTTTTTCACCTCCCTCTTCCTGGTGCTGCTGCTACAAGGAGCACATAAATAATAACTGCCCCATCGACGCCGCTAAAATTATGTGCAATTTTATGGGCGTTCTTAGTGCCAAAATACAGTGGTTATTTTTACTGAACAAGGAATGTTGATTGGTTAATTGATATAATTTAAACAATTGCTCGTAGCACATAATTGTAATATACAAATTTGAGACGTGGAATTGAATCATTATACGTAATAATGACAGACATTTACGAGCAAAACGAAACTCGATTAATTTGCATAAATTGTGAGAAATCATTTTCGTCGTAGACGAATAATAATAGTATTTGATATGGCAATATTGTGCTCGAATTTTAAATTTGCAAAATGCAAAATTTAATTAGACTAATATTAGAATTTTTTAATATAAATAACATGCCCGAACAATTCACACAATATTAGAATTTTTTAATATACATTTAAATAACATATCTATATAAGATACATTTTTTTTTGTAAATACACACATAACATACATAGCAAAAACTCAGACCGATAGAGACAATCATACTCGTGAATACAAATATTTACCTTGCATGGAATCGAACCCGCGACCATCGGAAGTAAATCGACCACCGAGGCCGTCAGATTAAAATTAAAAACTATTTTTAATGTTAGAGAAATTGACAAGTTAAGGATATTTTCATGTAAGGCACTCTGACTGACTCTTACAATAAATTGGTGGTTATAGTAAATTATTCTTTCCTTTTGGCATATTTGAAATAAAGAAATTCAGTCTTTCTATTCAGGACTATAAGAGATGTAATTCTCTTTTGAATTATTAAATATGATAGAACGTTTACCTTTATCTTAAATGTTTATTAATACTATCTAAGTTAATTGTTGCCTAAATTAATAGTTTGCCTGCTTATTCTTTGATAATCCACAATTGAAAATTACATTTATTTTCTCATTCGACTTATACCGTATCAACTCATAAGTTTTCGTACCGCTGAGTACCTCCCAAAACCTCGTCCGTGACTCTAATTAATATTATTGAAATGAATTGTTTTTGATTCAACTTTAAAACAGCTATACATCTCTTTCCCACTCAAACATTTGCAGCCGCCGTCTCACTTTACCGCCAAAAGATCATTTTGATTGACGCCAGTCTTTTAATGTTAGTCCAAATTGAATATTTTACTTTGCAAACTGTAATTTGTCTTCCAATGTTCTTGGATTAACTTAACGTTTCAGTGAACCAACCGATCTTATTACTGGGACCACAAAGATCATTATGCAAGCAAAATAATTGTAACACTTCAACTAATTTGCGTTGTCATAAATCTGTTTTAGTCCCTGTTGGTCCAGAGTAGATTTTACGGCTTTAGTAGTGAATTTTAATTACACTTTGACAGTCGTTAAATGAGATACAACTCCATTGCGCTTTGTTCATAAGTTTATTGTTCATAGCTCCGAGAAACAGTTAAAGGCTGTATGAAGTTGTTCCATAAAGGGATACGTACTTCATAATCCATTATAGAATGAGTAAGAACTGATACACTAGGTAAAAAAGAATATTATAATACTATTATTCACTTACTCGTACGCTGTATACCCGCTGGACAATGCAAACAGCACTATCAAGTCCCAAGCTAAGCAGATCTTATGTTATGGAATGGATATTAAACAACTGATATAAATATTTAGATACATTTCTTATGTAATACTAGCTGACCCCGCAAACATTGTTTTGCGGTATAAATTGAAATCGCTATTAAAAAATAGAGGTTGATGGTAGAAGGGGGAGGGGGATGAGAGTAAGGGGGAGGCCCTAACTGTTAGTCTGGATATTGCGAAGGCCTTTGATCGGGTTTGGCACAAAGCTCTTCTTTCAAAGCTACCATCCTTCAGTTATGCAAATGGGTCGCCAGCTTTCTCGCTGATCGGAGCATCAAGATCGTTGTCGATGGTGCTTCCTCCGACTCACATTCTGTGAATGCTGGTGTTCCACAAGGCTGTGTGCTATCTTCGACTCTGTTCCTTTTGCATATCAATGACATGTTACAAATCAACAACATTCATTGCTATGCGGATGACAGTACCAGAGATGCCTTGTACCGCGGCCATGCTAATATGTCGCACGCAAAAGTTATAGAATACCGGAACAAACTTGTGTCTGATATCGAAACCTCACTCCATCAAGTTTCGATTTGGGGTCAGGAAAATCGTGTTCAATTCAACCCCAAGAAGACACAAGTTTGCGCGTTTAACGCTAAAAAGAATCCATTTATCGTATCTCCTCAGTTTCAGGACACTCTCCTTGAAGTGAAGCCAAATCTCAAGGTCCTTGGCGTTGATATATGCAGTAATGTTCAGTTTTGCGGTCATTTGGAAGACAAGGCTAAAATAGCCTCAAAAAAGCTTGGTGTACTCAGTAGAGTGAGACGGTATTTTACGGCGGCCCATCGCTTGCAATTATACAAGGCGCAGATCCGGCCGCATATGGAATTATGTTCTCATCTCTGGGCGGGAGCACCACAATACCAGCTACTTCCATTTGACCGCATTCAGAACCGAGCAGCCAGAATCATTGGTAACCAACGTCTATGCGACTGACTCGACCCATTGGCTTTGCGGCGAGATATTGCATCTCTGTGCATTTTCTACCGCATATATCACGGGGAGTGTTCTGAGGAATTGTTCGGATTAATACCAGCTGCTGAGTTTCACCACCGTACCACACGCCAGAAACTACAATACCATCCATCATCTGGATGAATGGCGGTCCTCCACAGTGCGGTTTTCTAGAAACTTTTTGCCACGCACAACCACATTGTAGAATCACCTTCCAGCAATGGTATTTGCAAACCGATACGATATTGAAATCTTCAAGAATAGAGCTTATCCCTTTTTTAAAGGCCGACAACGTACTTGTAATTCCCCTGGTGTTGCGGGTGCTCTTGGGCGGCGGTAATCACTTACCATCGGTGAGCCGCATGCTCGTTTGTCCCCTGTGTTATAAAAAAAAGAAGGGTTTGGATTTGTATGTACTTTTAATGGCACATTATAAAAAAATAAAAAATTGTTAGGGGTGGACAACTTTTATCACTTAGGGGTATAAAATAGATAATAGCCGATTCTCAGATCCATTGAATATTCATATAAAATTTCATAAAATCAGTCAAGCCGTTTCAGAAGAGTATGGGAACTAACATTGTGACACGGGAATTTTATATATAAAAAATATACCTGCATCTGAAATTCCTTCTGTAATTCGGTACACTATAAAATAAATAATAACATCTGTGGACTGACGAGAGGTTGTCTCATAAATAGCAAAATTTTGAAAATTACAATTTTTCCAATAATGGGGCATTTTTGTCTGAGAACTTAACTAATTAAGTTTCTTTATAAATTCATCGGAAAAATAACTTATTTAATCTAACTTTGTTGAGACGTCTAGATAAGTATCTTAATCTCATTAAAAACGGATCGCTTGACGTTACCTAAAAGATTGTTTTCAATAATGTATACATACTAAGTATCTCACCCGACATTATCCGAATTGATTTGAATAATTGATATATTCTCTGATAGAAATTGAAACAAACCTACAATAATAAAATAAAAACACATATTCACATAATTATATAAAGTATCTAATAAGCTTTTTGTTATAAAAAATATTAATAAACGGGCAATTTTAATAGATATACAATTAGTACATCCGTAATTACCGAACTATCATTTCAACACCACAGATAACACGTACTTATATAAACAATAGCTGATCTGTGCAACTTCGTCTGCATCACAGTTATCGTTATATTACGCCCAATTTACATAATCACTTTTTAGTTTACAGCCTATATGTTATTCTGATATATAAGCAATATTACTGTAAAACTTCATCAAAATCCGTTCAATAGTTTTTGCGTAAAAGAATAAAAACATCTATCCATACTCACAAACTTTTGCATTCATAATATTAGTAGAATTTGTTGGCAGTAAGACTCCATAACTAAATTAATAGGTAGTAAAAAAGGACTTTTTTGTATAAATAAAATAGCAAACGTTGACGACTCATTTGACGTAGAATTTAATATGATTAAGTAGTAACATATATACATGAACACTATGGTAATCTAGAGTGACGCCCTAATGGTGAACGCCATGTGATTACCTGTAATTTCGCAACACCTCACAAAGCAAGCTGCTTCGTAGCTGAAATTTGTGAGACTCAGGTACCCACGAAGACCACTTTTTAGTCTACTTTAGTGAAAGAAAACAAAACCACAGATAAGAAAATATTACACAGTTAAAACGATTCTGTACAAACCATTAATATTTTATTTAATAAAACATATTCAGTTATAACAACATTGTACTTATAACAAAGAAATCATCATAATTCATCGCCTTCATCATCATCATCATTAATCGCCTGTATGTTGAACCGTGATGAAGGCTGTGCTTGTAACTCCTGAGGCTCCACCACATTTGGTATCCGGTAGCCCATCAGCGCTGCACCGTAGTTACCAAGACCAGTATCCCCGAATATAATCTAAAGACAAAAAAATACTACAAATAAGAAATAAATAATTTGAGGGAAAAGTAAGTGAGTAAATAAAAAAAGACTAATTGTTGCTGTATAAGAATTTTTATGATATTGGGGAGTGTATATTTGATGATTTTTATCTTCCTTGTATTATATAATTAATATTGTTAATATATAATTATAATTATGAATTATAAGACATTATTTTTAAATTATAATATTTATAATTTACGTGCACATAAATTGCGGTAATTAAAGAGTTGGCAATAATAATAATAAAACATCTTACTATTAACTAATTATTTTCTGCAAATAAATACAAATCAATTTGAATGTAAGACATAATAAGGTGTTTATAATTTCTTGTTAAAGTTCATACATTATGAGAGGTGTGCAAATTTCATTTATTGTAGGTATTATTCTGTTAAATAAAATCAAAAATCATTTATTCATTTACGACATTTTAGCCGCTTATAAATATCAAGTTTATTGTACTCGTATTAATATTTTTTCCCTACCGTCCAGTTCAGTATACAGATTCAATTGAATTGAATTGACAGGAAAATCAACTTAGTTTCTTTTTTTTTAAAGCCAGTTTATTTATAATGTATCCTTATATAGGTGTCTATGTCTAACATTAAATTAAAATCCCGTGCATGAACAACTATTGCCATGCACGTTTGTCATTTAAGTAATCGTTTAGCGAGTTTTGCTCAACAAATTTGATTTGACTACGTCAGTACATGTAGCTTTTAGTAGTTCTCTTGTCGGTTGATACAAAATGCTATTCATGATTCCAATAGGTACCAGCATTAAAACAAGATGATGTATGTCGCAGATGTGTCCTTTTAGGATAATCTACAAGGAACGCTGTACGCTTTCTTACAAAACCAATCTACATGAATAATGTACGAGCCTATAAAAGTCTAAACAGTCTTCGGGAACCGTTTCGAAAAACCGTTAGAACACATTTTAAGGACAGATGTGGCTAAGCCTATCCCAAAAGTTGCCACTTGAAATCTAAAAGACAATTTACATTTCACATGTAAACTGATGACCTCGGTAGTCTAGCGGTTTCTCATACCGCTTTACTTACAATTGTCGCGGGTTCGATTCCTTGTTTGTCCGCTAGACCACCGAGACCATCATAAACGTATGACATATTATTTTGTTATTCGAAAACCTGCGACCTGGTTACACTAGTGGTACTATTACCACGCTGTCCAGGCATCATTCTATTGTATGTAACATATATATGCCTAATATATGTAAGTGGGGAAAAGGGGGTCGTTAGTAATGTGGACTGATGATCTTATTGCTAGCAATGTACCATGTCAGACCTGACCTGACCTCATGCTCATCTTATCATCCTCCACTGGTGCCACGTCAGCGTAAACCGTTAGCGCGGGTGCACCATTCCATTATCATACATAAAAAAAAATATTTATGTTTGCCTAAATAGTCAGTTACCTAAATAGAAAAAAAAATTACATTGTGACTTATGCTTTTCTCTTAGTTGAGTAGTACAACGCCTATCTTATATAGAGCGTTTCCCATCAGAAAATACAAATGAACGGGCCGGGTGACATGACGTAGTATCGCCATTTCTCATTGCCTCTACTAATGACTCCCATCGTCGCTTAGTCGTACCTGTTCATCTATCAAATATCTAATATAGTAGATTTCATTAAACTTCAAGAAGCCCAGTTCGTCAGCAATCTGTTGTGTGCGACCAGTGGTAAATATTCCAGCAATTGCTGGCACGTTGGCGCTTGCTGCTAGTGGTATAGCTGCTTTAAGCATTTCCTTTGCTATGCCTAGAAATAAATAAGAACATATTTTAGATTTTGCCATTGAGGTATTAATAAAGCTGCATTTGATAAGAAATCGAAACATCAAGCGCAATATAAGAAGAAAATATCGTCTAAATTAAAAGTTATAACGTATACTTCATCACGAAAATATTCGTCTAATTCATTACTTAATCATTTTCAATCTTTACTTCCATTATTTTGACAGTATGTAATATGTATATAACACAGCACAGCATGTAGATATACAAGTAGGTAAACTAAATCATTCATCAAAGAAAACAATTGATTGATACATTAAAATACTAGAATACAATCTGGTATCTAACATATAACTAAATCAAGTGTATTACTTAATTATATCGGGCAGTAGCGAAAAGTGCAAGTGCGATGAATTCTTTAGTATATTACCTAAGTACATAATACCTCAATGGCTCTCATATACGAATTTGTGATCCTAATTTATTCGGAGATTATTATAAAAAACAAGCAAATTATAGCACAGAAGAAAAAAAATATTTAAAACGATTAAATCTTAATTTTTAATGAAGATTATAATGTAATATTATTATTAGGATATTTTAATCCGGAATTATTACAGCGATTTCTGAAAAAAAATCTGTTTGAAAAGTACCTTGTTTCAGACAAATGTAGTCCGTATATTAATATATACATATACATAATTTACAAAGTTATGAGCTACTAAAGTTAATTAAAATATGACATTCAAATTATATTTTTTAGTAACTAGTACCAGTTGCTAGTTCCTCGAGAATAGAAACAAATATCACATTTTAGAACATTAATTAAGTCGTTACTTTTTCCAACTAACCTCTATGTCTGTATCTATTTTTCAACGCCAATACGTAAATTTTGAAGTACTTCCTTACACCTAATTTTTGGAATAGACAAACTGGTTTTTCCACTTCATTGTAGAATGTCATCACAGTAGTGTACAATGGATTATGTGTCAGTTTCACGCGGCTGAATGTACGGGAAAATGCACCTTGAAATAAAAAAATATATAATAATCATAACTTCACGACTTATCCCACATGGAATGTTCATAGACATTCTCAATCGCGTAAATTATGGTATACACAACCATGATATGCCGTGATTTCGCTGAGTATATTTTAATTCAATGTAGTAGTGATAAATTTGATCTGTTAATACTACCTCCGTCACCAGAGAGTCAATCAAATATATATTGATGCGAAATCTCTCAAATTTACAACCTTTGAGGCTAACAAGGCGTAACATGCCACTAAATACTAAATTATAATTTATTAATACTCATTACTATTAAAATTTAATAACTAATACATAAAAAATAATAATTGACAGAAATAACTAATAATAGACATTAATAAATAATAATATCATAAGTTCAAACAGCTGATAACTGTATTAGATTTCTATTAATTTCATATTCAATGTTTCTAAATAACTCCGCTAAAAACAAACTATTTTCTTATTCATCTTTTCATCCTTCACTGCATATAGAATTAGCTGATTAGAGACCATCATTCCATCATCATACACGAATAATCATTCTCAATATCGGTAACAAGTTTTTTTTAATAAATTCATAACCCAGCAGCATAGTCCCACGGTAAGCAGAGCTTGTGTAATCGGTACTAGATAACTGATATAAATACTTCTTTTTTTTATAAATACATACATAGAAAACAATCAGACCGATATAAACAATCATACTCATGAATACAAATGTTTGTACAGTGCGAGGAATCGAACCCACAACCATCAGAGGTAAAGCGTGTGCTAGACCGCTAGACCAAGCCGTCATAAGTTAGTTTTATTAAGCATAAATACGTAAATTATTATACATTAACTAGATCAATCTATATTTTTAATAAGATGTCGCAAAATGGCACGTCTCGTAAAATGCTACACTTTCATTTGTCCCCTTTTATGGTTAGCTCTAATTTTACAATTTTACAACCGTAACTGTAAAAGTGGAAATGCAGAATTGTACCTTACGTTTTGTCTGTTCGTTGTTCCCCATTCGTGAGCGTCAACGTTTCCCCTAATATAGACCTATCCCTATCGACTACTTGGAATCCAATTTACGTACAAGAATATTGGCGCAAATGTAAGATATAGCGGGAAATGAAAAAAAATCAACTCCACTCTGTGTCGAATGCATAGTATGCACCTGACTTATGATTTCCTAATGAGGTCGAAAAATGTTTCGAAAAACAAAATAATGTTATTAATAATGTGTATTTACTTAGAACAAAATTTTTATTGGAAAGAGCAACACGTAAGTTTCTTGTGATGAGTCTACATTCCGAATGAGTGGTAAAATAAAAAAAATATTCTAAGTGCCTATGTTAAGTTTATTTTAATAAAGATTATTTCTACTTGATTTTCTGTTTATATATAGTCATGCAATGAATTATATTTCTGAACAACATTGATAAGGAGGTTGTCAATTTGACCGTATGTTCTTGTATATTTTACACTTGTCGTGTTATATTACTGAAAAGTTTAATCAAAATCCTTTCAATAGTTTTTCGTGAAAGAGTAACAAACATCTATCTATCCATTCATACTCAAAAACTTTAGCGTTTAACAAAAAATTAACGATCGTAAGGGTAAAATGTCCTACATAAATAAAAGAGTTTTTATTTGATGATTATATTATTATCAGCAACTCGTCCAAATCTTTTATTAAAATGTTAAATTTCAGGAAATTTATTGGAAGTCATTTATGGTCAGACGTATAGATGACTATAGACGATAATAACCTTAAATCATTGTGATCCCATCCTCTGTCCGGATGTCTACAATGAATGTAGTTCTCGAAACTAATAGTTTCATGTGGCTTTGTCAGAGTAAAGTGTATTATATTATTGTACACTAAAAGCAGTCAATATAGGAATGAAGAGAAATACTTTAAAGAAAGTGTTAAATATCAATGTGGATGCTATAAGGGCAGAGGAAAGCCGAAAAAGAGATGAATGGACTGTGTAAAAGATGATTCACAAAAAGGGAGTAAATAATGAAATGACTGCGAGTAGAAATGAATGGAAGAAAAAACAAATCATATGAGATAAGGAAAACAGATTAATCCATTTTTATGGAACTCGTAGAAACACTGGCTAACCATGGACTTTACAAACATTAAGCACAAACGGACCGGGTAGATCCAGAAATACCATACCCTCTACAATACCAATGCTATGTAATAGCACTTTAAGTATGACCGCATTTGGCATTGTAATTAGGTGTTTGGACGCCCATATTCCTTCCTCCTGTCTCTTTTATAATCATTCTCTTCCTTATCTACCCCTACTCCCTTTTCTCCCTAAAAGTTTTATATGTGATAGTAATTACCGCTGCACCTGCAACACCAGGTGAATTACAGATGTAATATATATTTTTATTATTCTAATAGCATAATCTGTTATTGTATTCACCCTAAATTTAAATTATTGCAATTGGTAATCGTATTTAAAAATATAGCAGTTTCTTGGTAGTTGTTATCGATTGAAATTACAATTGATTTAAGTTATCATATATTTGTAACAGCCTTATGAATAAAGGACATTAACATTTTATATTTGTTTATTTAAATCCTACAAATATATGCCAGAAGTAAGTACTTCTGTCCTTTAAAACTTTATAAGCTCCAACAATACCATCGTATATTGTATTGAAATTGGTAAATTAGAATTTTTCCGCGGATTGTATTGTGTTAAATTGAAATTTGTCAATTTGATTGCGAGCGTTGCGGACAATTTTATTACCCTTGCCTTATACACAGCGGAATTATTCGTCAAGGGTAGCCAATTGAAATATCCAATTTGATTGCTATAAAATGCTTTAATTTAGTATAATTTATGAGTCAGTTTCTGACCCATAAACAAACTTTGTTGACTTTCATTCCGTAAGATAATTAATTTGTTAAATATTTCAGATCTTCGGTGTGATAACTCTGCCTTTGTATAGTGAAATTTATGTATGTGTTTTACGTTAATTCTGTACAATAGAATTACGGGAAATACAATTAAATAAGTACCAAAACAATTAAAATTACGTACATTTTCTCTTTGATAAATGAACTCCAGAGTAATTAATAATTTAATATGTTTATTTTATAAAAATAATAATTTTAATTGTGAAAAAAAATTTATAATGTTAAAAAGAATGTGAGTAGTCTTTATTTATTTTAGTATAACTCACTTCTGTGATATTACAGACAAAAACCTAACCTTGTTTCAAGGGAGTGCGCGCCAACCAACCTATCCTAAATAATATTTTAAAAATCCTGAGTTTTAAAATGTATTGCTAGTGTTTCTATTTTTATTATGTATGTTTGTGAGCAACAGAAGAAAAATAATCGGAGCAAAATAACGTAGTTTTAGTAACTCCTAACCTTCCACTCTTACATTTTACTTGAATTTTCCCCAACATACCTCTGATTATAATTATAATAATCAATACTAGTAAATATTATATCACTATACAAAGTCAATAATCCAGACTGATATTGTAAATGCAAAAGTATATGTGTTAGTTACCTTTTAATTACTAATCAGCTGAGTAGATCTTAACACAATTTAACGTGAAGATAGATTGTATCACATAGACGGACACGAAGCTTTAATTCATAAGTACTTAAGTAAAATTAGTGGACCAATTCAATATTTTAGTTTTAGTAATAGAAATATTTCACAGAAATTATCCACGCTTATCATTCTCTCGTTCTATTCTCAACTCGCACCAACGCCGAAATCCTACAGCTGAATCGGAATTCTTTTTACGGATGCAGTAAAAATTTAGGCTCAAAGCATTCAAGGAATCTGCCCCCTAATGTTACGGCCATCGATACAGGCCGAAATCGAGTTTATTTCGAATCGATACGCAAATAGATTCCGAATAGTGATTCGAAGGAAGCCCGCCTTTGTGAATGTATCGCATCAATATTATGACTGTAGACATTTTATTATTGTTCGCTTTTTATGACATTATTTCTTTCGAACTAACCGATTCCCACGACTGCATCTGTATAGAGTTACGACTTCCAGTAGCCTATATTATTATTATGAGATGTTATGTAAATAAGTGTATCTACAGGTACGTACGTAATTGGTCATTATCGGCTTTTTCCTTATCGTATTTATTTAGGGTCGGGATAATGTGTTTTCTTTTCCATTCGTCCCTGTTGGCAGTCATCTCGTTATTTACTCCCTTTTTTACCACATCATCGTTCATACAGTCCATCTATCTCTTTTATGCCTTCCTCTACCCTTATACCCATCCACATTCATATGTAACACCTTAAAATATTATCTTCATTCCTACGCATTTACATACGTACTTACGTAATAGATTATGTTATCTGTGGTAATAGGTACATGTACTTATTTACAGACTGACCAGGCAGCCGGATAGGCAGACTAATAAGGAGCTCTTAAATAATATTATCATGGTACATCTCGTTTATGTAATGTAAAGAATTGTAAACAACCGTAACAAAATCTTTAAACATGTACTCATAAATATTACATACATAAATAACCAGGAAAAAATATTTTTACTTATACAGCGATTGAACCCACTTTATGCGAAAACAATGCAGTTTTAAATTATTAACAATCACAACATTATCAATATATCTAATCTCGTACTCTACTTATTGGTGATGACGTCGTGGCCTAGTGGATTATAATTGCTACTTAGATCAAATCATCAAGTTCAAATCTTGCTATTACCAAAAACAATTGTGTCAATTTATATTTTTGACTAACTCCAATACTAATAACAAACAAAACTAGTCCAAGAGACAACAATGCACTCCGCGCTATATTTGATTCAAATATACCAAACAAAAATTTGAAATATCAAGTGTTATTGCTCGTCACTATAACGACAGTTAAAAATATATCTGATTACCCCATGTGAGATCAGAGTAAGAATAGAATAGAATAGAAAATCATTTATTCAAATAAACTTACATTGAAGCACTTTTGAATAGTCATTACATTGTTTAATCTACCACTCATTCGGGAAGCTGTCTCATTACAAGAAGAACGAGCAAAAACTTGCGTGTTGCTCTTTTAAATAATTTTATTATTACTTTACATTTTTAAGTTTAAGTGTGTGAATACAAACCGCCAATTAGCACTAATTCAATTAAATACTCAAATAGAAAAAATATTGAATATATAACCAACTGGTTATACAATTAATAAGAGGAAATCAGTCATAGAGAGAGAGAGAGAGAGAGTCGTGAAGGTTATATTACATATTCTTATTGTTGATACTAGCTCAGTTGAAAAGAATAAAAACTGAATTTCTTTTCAGTTCTTCTTGACTCAAAAGCACTCCAAACTGACGGTAGATTTTGAAATATTATAAGTCTATAATAAACCTACATGAATAAACATATTTTATTTTAATCTTATTGCTTTGAACACTTACTCTTTTCCTGTATCCTCATTATAAGTACGCCTACTAGTTTCTCTGTTCCCTCTTTAACAGCAGCCATGGAAACTTTATCCTTCATCCATATACGAAGGTTGTGTACGAATTCATCAGTACCTTCCTGGTCTTCAGCAATTTTGACAGATCTATACGTGATCTGAAAGAGTTTTAGTTAGATAGTTGAGTATAGTAATTGTTTAGCAAGAAAGGATTATAATATCCCCGGAAATTCCAGCGCCATCTAGTCCCATAGTAAACAGAGCTTGTATTACAGATTAGAGAAATAATATAAATATGTACCTAATACATTGATTCGATCCCAGCACCACATTAACTTATTTATAAATATGTCTATTAGTCTGGGTGTTTTTATATATACCATCTATTTACAAAAAAGATAGTAGGTATTTAAATATTCCTTTCAGTTGTTCAATACCCATAGTATAATTCTGGTTATTTAAGGACTAGATGACGAAGTGTGAATTGTCCAAAGTTATTGATTGATTAATGGATTATCAGAATGATATATATGATGTGATATCGATTTTTAATATACTTTCATCTTTAGAAAGGCACATTATTTGAGGGTTAGAGATTGGTGTATATTATTTGTTTAAGAATTAAAAATACCTGTATACTAATTACAGTGTTTATAATATTGTGCGTATTTTTTTTCATTACATGGTTGAAAGTAAAACAGTTACGACTTCCAAATTGAATTCTAATTCACATGTTCTAATAAAACACTTAGATGTTACAAACCTCTTCAGGCAAGTAATGCTTCTTCAACAACCTTACAGCATCTTCATACCTCTTATCCTGCAAGTAGAGTCCGACCAAAACTAGATATTAAAGCCGAAACTGAAATTGTATGTCTATCTTTATTGAAATTTCAGCTAAAATCGTAACTTTATTTTAAGATTTATCTCTTGGTCCATCTGGAACTAAGCGGTAATCTTCACATGCTCAAAATACATGATTCCCGTGTTATTATTGAGACTCGAGACTCTTAAGTATAGAAAGAAAGGGTATTAGCTCTAATTCGGACTAGAAGTCCCATTATTAATAATGTACTCAGTTAGGTTGACTTTAACGCAATGGCTCAGAAACCATTGTGGCTAGTAAATTCGTTACTATGGGATAACTGGCCTGACTTTTCTCATCCTATTACACTCCACTGGTAGCCCGCCAAATTCTAGACCATTCTATATTCATTAATTTAAAAACAACTCATGCGTTATTATCCAGAGTAATAAGCTCTTATGCCTTCATTTACTGAAAATGTAAAATAAATATGAAAAAAAAATATTTCATAAACGTATATGCGATACTGTTCAAATAATTCTGTAATACACAATTTATCTTTTTCTCAACATTCTTTTAATAATTAATTATTTCTTTTATTGAAGAACGAAAGAAACAACAATTAATATATCTCGATAGTTATAAAAACAATTTTAAATTAAACCAAAACTCGAAAATTTGCTATGAAACTAGCGATACCTTCATTTTCGGCTGTAACTTTGGTCGGACAGTACCTGTAAATCTTCGAACCTAATACCACACGGCACACGACCCCATATCGACGGTGCTTTGATTCTCTCTTCTAAAAGTTTCATTTTCTCTACTTCTGCTTCGGCGCTTGTCGCCATTTTGATTCACCTATTTAGAATGATTAATGTATTTATTTCACATTAAAAACAAATTGGAAATATTTTGGAAATTTTTGGTTATATATATATATATATATATTGCTCTGACAATATAAATATGTCAGAATAATATGCCAGTGTCATTTTACAAATTTTTGATACAGGTATAATGTTTTTGTCTGTGATATTTAAAAGTACATAATAAATAAAATTATATTAGAAATTATTACGGAACTATTCTCGAATGCTACGCTGAAAATGTAGTCGACCGATTTTGTAAATTAACAGTTACTGGCAGCCTACATTTCATAAAACAAGAAAAAACATTGTAATTATAAAAACTATTATAAATAAGTAATATATGTTGAAAACTGAAAACGACTTTATATTTTGTCTCGTCGTCGGTATAAAAATATTTATATAATAAATATATAAACTGTAAAGTACGATTTCCAACAAGCTACATCGTTATTACAGGTATCCAAAAATCCAACTAGCAATTACTATGTTATCTTTGGAAACCATCGTGATTAATTTTCCAGTATGAGCTAATTAATCTGACTTCATTCTCATCCTAACATCTTGCAAGGCAAGGCACGTAAGGCACTAAGTGGTAAGGCACGTGCACGATTCCATATTCATGACTTAAAAAAAATTATACCAAATTCTTAGTCCGTTGACCTTTATTATATTTTGTAAACATTTAGACCCGTGTCGACCGTTTTATTGGTTACAATTTGACTTTGTAATGTAGAATAAATTCTAAGAAATCATTGAAACAGTTTTCACCAGAAATTATTTCGGACTGAGCCGTAAATTAATATTTATATATAAAGGAACGTAAATTCAATTCATGTTTATTCAGATGGCGTTTATATTTAAATATTGTATATACTTTGTGTATTTTTTAATTATCTACTCATTTAATATTTCTGTGGAATTGAGTATTCTTAGCGGTGTTGTTAGTCGATGTTCAGATCTAAACATACTTACTTCTAATATACTTGATTTTCGTAGGATGGCAACAGATTATTTAGGTAGAAAATAAAATGAAGATTGTTTTCCTTGTAATTACTGAGTACATACATACATGCATGTAATCTTCTTAAAGGCATATTGGAAAACTGTAAAGTTCGCATAGTATGATGTAAATGAATAAATATATATATGTAGTGTGTACGTATAACCATATTTTTATTAAATGACTGGAATAACAAGCTCGGTGTCTACCCACCTTATTATTAGTGGTAACCGTCGTCTATACAAATACATGAGCCTCAGATACCACACCCCCCTCCGATCGATCTCCCGTCCAATTCAAACGGGGATCGAAATTACGACAGCCTAAGCCGAGGTTCGAACCCCTAGCGATGTTCGCAGCCTAAAGTCATATCCGTCAGGAGTTGGCCTTCAACAGTTCCATAAGTCCTTCCGCGGGTTTAGAGTACCATCTACTCTCGCCCCGTTCATCGCCGATCGTTCAAGATGTAAAAGACAGATACGGCCAACAGCAAAGAATAGTTGTTAAAAAAAATATCTCATCACTATTTCGCACTACCTAGAACAATACTGGATTAAGTAAAAAATACAAAAAAGAAAATCTAATTTCATAAATTTCTTTTTTTTTCATAAAAGTGCGATATGCTTACCCTTAGTACCACCCATGCTATCTATTCTGATAGTCTGGAATATTATGTCTACGTAACATGTAATATAGTCATCTCACTTTGTCACTTATTTCGGTCACTAAGTAAATTGTTTATTAGTTGTTTCGGTTTAAACACTGAGATATTGTAGTGTAATTGTACAATACGCTGGTACTAACCTGCGTATTGTACACCTTAGACTACAAGAAACCTCCCTTGTAGCCTAAGGTGTCACATAACGACAAATATATATTATGTACAAATTACGTACTATTTATATTGATAATACTTACCAGTTTCCATCGGGTGGATCAGCTGGTCTACCATTTTAATTACATGAAACGTATATAATTTTTTTATTTACTATTTCTATAATATACATTGAAAGTCCTGAACGTAAATATAGCAATCAATTAACTTACACTGAAAACATTAAAAAAGTTCACAAACATTCACATTTAGTAATTTTAATATTTAACAAGAGTAAAGCGTTCAAATATTATAATGTCAAAAAGTCTTACCGCAAAATCAATTTCCTCAACAAAAGACTGAAAAAAAACAAAATAGACCGTCGAATACCGGCTGGCACGGGAAACTGGCAAAGTTGGCAACATATAAAAAAGTAAAAGAAAGTAAATCGATAGTTTACCGTAAAGACATCAAAGTTTGCACGATACCCACCGAAATGAGGTAAATGGAAAAATAAACGATTGTTGAAACATAGGAAATTGAATTGGGTTCCTTATGTATTTATAGAATTAATTTATTTTTGTAATAACCTTTTTTGTAATAAGGTTGTAAAATACAGTTTTTATTCCGCTAAAGTCATATATATCATAATCAATATTACAATCGACGGCCTCGCTGGTCTAGCGGTCTAGCACACCGTTTTACTTCCGATGATGGCGGGTTCAATTTCTCGCACGGTTCGAACATTTGTATTCATGAGTATAATTGTATCGGTCTAGGTGTTTTCTATGTATAATATCTATGTATTTACGAAAAAATATATATCTTTGCAGCACAAGCTTTAGTTAGCTTAACTTGGGTCTAGATAGCTCTGTGTGAATTGTCCGTAGTTATTATTGTTATTAAAAATATACAGTTATTATATTATTTCAAAACTCCAAATTGCATTGTTAAACTATATTCCTAATATACTGCTTTAGTTATGAAGTACTATCTAGATATACTTTTAAATTTCCTTTTTATTTATTTATTGACATCAAAACTAAGTGATTCTTACAGTTTCCCAATACGCTCACTTAGGAAAAAATACACAAAAGTATGATTCATTAATAAATACAAAAACATATATATGAAAACAATAACAACCTACAAACTTACGTGTTATTTAAGTAATCCATTGCCCTTCTGTTAAAAGTCAACAAGTCTCATGTGAATATGTCCAGCTCAGGACATTACCGAATCGATTACCGACACTGTTAAGTAGAGTCAATGCAAGAATGAAATCTTTTAATTCAATAAATTAATATATTTTTTATTATTTATTTTGTTACGGAACTCTAATAACATTGAAAGCTTAAATCGATACAGTTGTGAGTCAATAGCGTTTGGTCGATGACAAAGTAAAACGTAGAGACAATAAGAATTACATTTTTATCTACCAGTTTCCCTGTGGTTCGTTCACGCGAATTACCAGCAAAAATATACAGACAGGAATGGCTATTAATTTATCGATTGCATTCATATCAAAATATTTATTTGTTACTTTATTTATACGGCGAACTGTTATTTAATGAAACGAACCTAATTCTCAGCATTTTTTAAGTCATTACTTAAAAAGCGCTGACGTTTAAGTTTGTTTAAAGTTTGACTGTAATATTGTTTTGTTTTGTTTAAACTTAGAATATATACTATTAATATAGATAGATAAAAAAATGTTTTATTAAACAATTACAAACACATAGCATACATGAGTAAAATTAAAATAAAATTAAAAAAAAACATTTTATAAATAGAAATAAAGTTTACAAATTTATGGTCACAAATATATATATATATATATATATAATTATTAATATTACACTGTAATTTTTATGTTCAGTTCACAATGTGAACAAATAAAAAAATTTAGTCATTGCAAGTACCAGATAGTACCTATCTTACATTTTCTTCGACCAACATATATTCTTATATTATTGTAATATATTATACCTATATCTTATATATTATTTATATATAATTCGTATATTAATATTATTATTTAACATAGCATATATATAAAAGTCACCCGGCACAAAATCAAATATAATTAAGTATGTAATTATACTTTAATTAGTCACGGTGTGAACAAACAAATTAAACGTACACTGATTACAATTCGATTAGATTGATCGACAATTGAGAATTGTGATGAATCGATGCGGGAAGTGATTAATTGCAATGCGGAATGATATCATTGTTGTATAGTCTGTGGTATTTACTCTTAAGATTTCTATTGCTCTGAAGACGTATGGAATGATTTAATTACGTATGTGTTTTTAAGTAACTGAAATAGTAAATATTATATTCAGTGCGTACTAGTAGTTGATATTTAAAAATGTTACTATATATATATATATATGCTATATACTAGCTGGACCACATACGTTGTTATGCCATGTAAATTAAAATAGGGGTTGATGGTTGAAGGGTGAAAATTTAGGGTTATATTTATTTATAATGTCACATTATAAATAAATAATTCATGTTTTAAAAATAAAAATTAAATGTAAGGGTGGACACCTAACATTTAATTTTTACCTTTATAACTAAGGTGTATGAAAAATTGACTTGACTGATTTTTATAAAATTTCTTTTGCATTCAGTAGCTCTGAGAATCGGCTATTAAGCCGTTTTGGAGGAGTATGATAACTAACATTACGACACGATATAATATATTTTATATATACTATGTATATATATTTACTAATATATATATATAATATATGTATGAACGTATCCGCAGAATATCAGCGACGTCACACCAGCACCTCGTCACGGCATATGCTGAGTGGAGATTTGTTTGGTACCACAATAAATGATCCAAATGGCATTTAATAAATTATTTTTGTTGTATATTTTATGTATATTAAATAAACTATTTTCTTTCTTCCTAAATAAGTGGCCTACCCGATTTAAAATGACAACCGTCGCTGCATAGCCTACATACACGAACAACGCTATGGACATTACATCGTTATAATTATTGCACCTGTAAAAGTATTGCTATTAATGAGAACAAAATTGTGTTTAGTTACCGCCATTTCCTGTAATTTCAGTTCTAACTCTACAAAGTGGATGGAGGGTTCTTGCGAGGACTGCTTAACAACAGAATTAATGCAATGGTTGCTGTTGATGATTTTTTTTATACTACAATGTCCGCAAACAAGTATAATATCTATCTGATAGTAAATGGTTACCGTAGCCTGTGGACGCCTGAAACACCAGGAGTGTCACGTGGGCGTTGCCTAAGAAACCTTAATATGGAGGACTTAATACCTACGGCATTTGCTACTAATACTCACATATATGTATAAAAATTACAGCTGTACAGATAACTCCGGCAGGTACTCGTAGTTCATCCCACAATTTAAGTCTACGCGGGAGGAAGTTTCATCACCATACAGTAGCATTGTAATACTATTATGTATTCTGTGGCATTGCAATATATACCATATATATACAAGTATAGGGTATATAGCATATGGAAGATACGGAAGTGACCGACAACGGAACACGTCGTGATCAGACAAGCGAATTAAACCGCCCGCGGATATTCCTATTAGTTCCAATTCTAACTAGTGACTCCACGTTGGCTTTACTTGTTTCATTCTGAGTATCCAGTATCTGTGAACGCTTTTTTAATATTAATATACTTATATTATAAATGCGGAAATGTGTTTGTCTGTTTAATAATGTGAATATTATCGCTAATTATAGGCGGCATAATATAATGATACTCCCGCCTACAGATATGATAGTCGAAGACAGTTGAATATGCATAAAGATATGTCGGAAAATCCATCATAGTGAGTAAAAATATATTAGCCACGATGATTTCTGTGAAAAATTAAATTCATTTCTTCTATTAAAATTTTAAGAGAGGATTGTGAGTGATTACTTTAAATCCTACCAAATATATTAAATTATACCTGAGTGGATTATTTAAATTATTAACCGGGTCTTATCACGAATAATTTTATGGCAAATAAAGGTATTTACCTCTATTTAAAATTAACTATACCAGAGTAGACTGTAAGAAGTCGTGACTTAGTCTTACCTATTGCAGCCGTTAAACAACTTGCTTTGGAAGTTGTGTTTCGGTTGTAGGGTCAGATTAGGGAGTAAAGTTACAGGATAAGCGGCATGATATCTTAGTCTGCTAGAATGATAACTTGACGTCCTTAGTGTACTTCATGTTCATAGGCGTCAGTTACCACTTACCGTCAGGTGGACTATTAGCTTCTTAGCATTCCAATTACATAAAAAAATGCCGTCTTATGAAACAATTAATAACATCTATAGAAAGAAATGCGCAATCCCTACCAATCCACAATGTCTCAAACCCTTTATTGTATAAATCTCATAAAATTCAATACACGTTATAACGACGCCCGAACGCCGAAACTGCCAAGATCAACTTTTCCAGTTGAAGTAGGTATAAACGTCTTTCAAAACCATTTCTCAAATAAATCCTTCGTAACATCCATACGAGGGCTGGGTGATCCGGGCCAAATGGCCCGCTTTCCGTGCCCGGCCCGTCACAGAACTTTCCTATACGATTATATTACGTCACTGAACTCTTGACGCGAACGTGACCAGAATTTTTATCCATTACAGATATGTGGCGATCGTATGGGAAATCAGGTAATTGGGCGTCTTACCTAACCTAATTTTGTTAAGTTAGATCGCCTTTGCTTAAACTAAGTTAGCTGAATCTAATCTAGGAATAGAATCATTCAGTTGTAACTTAGATTAAGTTAGACAATCCTGTTTAGAGTTACGAGGTTGTAATAGACAAGTTTACAGCGGACTAAATGCGATTAGTATAGTTTATACTCTCATATAATATGTTAGATTTTGTATTAGACTGCTTACTGTGAGTATTCTAAATTTCTATCATTATTTTCATCACCGGTGATACTTTCATAGCCGAAATCGCATGTTCAACTAAAATATACACGAGTATAATATCAACAAAATTAAAAATAGTCAATATGATTGTAATAATTAAGCAATGAAATATTATTATTATAAATATTAGAATAACAACTCACCAAATCAAAGAAAACATTAAATTATCATAAATTCACTACTCATTTGTAACATTATAGTTGAAGTAAGAATTTTTTTTTTAATAAAAGGAAAGTTTTTTTTCTCATAAAATGAAACGCAAAACTACAGCTAACCTCCATT